TGTATTTGAAAGCAGCGGACATCAGGTGGCGTCAGATGGGAAAATAAACTCACTTGCAAACAGAAAATCTAACTGTTGAGCGACTGTAACTAAATATTCACACAGCAGCCAGAAGATGATGCTTATCGCTGATAATGAGTGAAATGTTGCTGACGTTTGTATCATCAGCTAACAGACAGAGACAGCATTGTTAGAGGAGAACTCGTAGGTAAGTTGTTGATTCACAGCTCGACTCCTGCATGCTGAGCAGACACTGAGGTCCAGGATGTGTTTGGCTTATCTTCGCAGGAGGAAACAGAGAGCCTTTGTCAACGTGGTGAATCTTGTCGGCTCACAAATACATCGGCAGCCTTGTGTGTTTTCTTCAAGGTGCGAAAAGAAACTCGTGACAGACGCCTGCGATGGATCGTGAATCGCCGTTTCCTCCTGCTTCTGTCTTAAAGCTACACTGAACTTGTCAGGAGAGGATTCTAGATGAACGCAGCGCTACTGATTCTCTAGTTTGACTTTAGGTGTCTCTAGTTGCTGATTTTCCGGCTTCCAGGAGGCTCAAATGGTTTATATGCTGCAAGTACAAACAGACAATTAACCCTCTCAACCCCAAAATCCGCTTTAAGAGGCGTGTTATCCTTTAAAAAATAAATAAATCAACAAAATTACACCACTTATCAAAGCTAAAAACAGTAAAAACAGATGATTTTGATTTGATTTGCCGGTCAGTTGGAAAAATAAACCAAATTTAAGCCCAAAATTGTTATATTTCATCAAAATCACTTTATTTTATACGTTTCATTGTAAAAATTGCCAAAAATAAAACCTGTATTTTAACCACATTCTGCAGAAAACAAATAATTCTGAGCTCCTTATCACAGCCGTGAAAACATTAATGACTCAGCTACGATCAACATTACTAAAGGTCGTGGACTTTGTCGGCTGAACTGCAGGATGTGTTTATACAGCAGAGGACAAAAATACAGAAAAATATCTACAGCATGTATAGTCTTTCTTTTTTCCTCTAATATTTCCTGAGACTATTACATGTTGATCACTTAAAAATAAATGAATACATTTTTTTTTCTATTTTATGAACAGAAATATCAAAACCATTTGCAAATATTACTTTGTTTTTAAAAAGTAATGTGTACGATATCATTTTAAGTATCAGTAGGAGTTCATTTTCATGAGCAATATTTCAATTTCAGCTGTAAAATGACATTTTTCTGGTGCAATATTTGAGAAATAGAGAAATATGAGAAATATGAATTACATGTTTAATATTTCATTATCATTGAAGTATCACAACATGTTTTCTATTCTACTTTTGTTTAAGTTTAAAAAAAAAAGTCTCATATTTATGTCTTATTTCTTTGTAACAGGGGACTACATTTCTCACAT